CACACGTTTAAGTAAATACGTATTTTACATAAATTCACTCTAACCATCTTTTATATATTTAATAGATAAATAAATAAAATGGTAAAATATTATAAAAATATTTATTTTATTGAATTATAAAAATTTTCAAATTAAGGATGTCCCTGGATCTTCCCTAAAAAAGATATATAGTTTGATCCCCTAACTATAGATAAGTAACTCCTCTTTCTTTCACTCACACACACACACACACACACTGGGTGGTCTGGACAATGAAGACAGTGTGTGTATGTGCATCTTTGATCATGGTGTGTGTGTGTTTGAAAAGTTTTAGGATCATAATCAGTGAACTAAAATGCTTTTTATTTTAAATTAGGCAAGACTTAAACCCAGACTCCACCTAACAAGTCCAATGGGAATACATGAGGAATGTGTGTGTGTGTGTGTGTGTGTGTGTGTGTGTGTGTGTGTGTGTCTGGCAGACTTGCCTCTTTTCTTGGCAAAGGAAATGAGGAGCTAAAAATTGATTTCATGCTGTAGAAAGAGCGCTGTAGAGAATGATGAGAGAGGGAGAGAGCCACCTGACCGCTTGATGGATGGTGTGTATGTAGACAATGCCTCACACATACGCGCTCGGGGTTTGAACGAGCTGTCTGCCGCTCTTAAAGCCTTTTGTTGCAGTTCTTCTGTCTGTCCTTCAGATTGTCCAGATTGTTTTCCCATAGCACCGTGGAAGCTCCGCCCCCTGGGCGCCATGGAGACGCGGCTTTGCATCCCCAGAAGACTCTGAACGCACGGATGGACTTTGCTTTGTGAGCACATGAGAATGCAACTTTAAATAATTACTTCTGAAAGCACACTGGTCAGGTGTGGGCGCAGAGGAAAATAATCCAAAAAATCGTCAAGATTTACTACTTAATACATTTTCATAAGGTTACTGTGAACAATTCCATCAGTGCATGTTATTCTACATAGAAAACATAATGATTTAATAATAATAATTCTTACAAATATACTTACTAAACCTCTGAAACAACTTTCCTTTTTATATCTGACGTCATCAGTCACCTTCGTATGGATGCTTGTCAACATCCTGATGGATAAAATCACGTTTTCTCATCGACCATCCTGTTTTATTCAGAAATATTATGAAGTCAACTGAGTTAAAAAGAACATAAAACATAAAAAAGTAATTTTAAACGCGTGAAGTTTGAAGGTTTTAAGACCATGCAGTCTATCAGACAGACAGACAGACAGACAGACAGACAGACAGACAGACAGACAGACAGACAGATAGATAGATAGATAGATAGATAGATAGATAGATAGATAGATAGATAGATAGATAGATAGATAGATAGATAGATAGATAGATAGATAGATAGATAGACAGACAGACAGACAGAGAGATAGATAGATAGATAGATAGATAGATAGATAGATAGATAGATAGATAGATAGATAGATAGATAGATAGATAGACAGATACAGACAGACATAGACAGATACAGACAGACAGAGACAGATAGACAGACAGACAGACAGATAGACATAGACAGACAGACAGACAGACAGACAGACAGACAGATAGATAGACAGATAGATAGAGACTGACGGACGAACGGACAGACAGATAGATAGACAGATTATTAAGGTATTCTAGCTGGTTGCTAGGGTGTTGCTATGCAGTTGCCAGGGTGTTCTAGGTGGTTGCTAGGGTGTTTTTTGGCAGTTAATGAGCACACAGTCCACAACATGAAATACATAAAAACAGAGTAAATCTCAAACGTAATCAAACTGTATCTCAAACTGAATTTCAGACTGCAATCAGAGTTGTGAGTCTCCTCGGGTTTGTCTCGGTGTTTAGTTCATTCTTCTTGGCAGAATGAAAAACTCTCCATCAGATTGGAAAGAAACTTAAGTTCTTCTACAGATGCTCAGTTGGACTGAACTCAGCGCTGGGACATTAATCTTTTGGTTTTGAGCGACTCTCACGTAAGTTTTTATGGCATGTTATGGGTCACTGTCATGTTGAAAGATCATCTCAGTCCCATGGACGGCATGTTACAGCTTCAATCTTTTTTCCTGCTGTCTTTATGAGTTTTCCAGTGCTTGCCACAGTAAAGAATGTTACCACCACCAGGCCTGACTGTATAGAAGGTTTTCCTGCTGTTATGCTGCGGTCGGCTTACGCCAAACATCGTGCTGAGCATCAAAAACCAAATTTGGTCTTATCGGAGCGTAGAATCTTCTCCGAACTGTCCAAAGAGTGTTTCGCGTGCATTTGGGCCGAACACCAGCTGAGATGTGATACGAGTCTGTTTGAAACAAATTCCTTCAAACGTGCCGAGCAAATTGAAAAAAGAAGAAATGGAAGGTTCTGGAATTGCCAAGTCAAATCCCAGACGCTGTGGGGGAAACTGAGGCAGGCAGAACACGCAAGCAAACCTCTAACATAACACAGCACTTCAAAGCAACACACAACACACAGCGCATCTCGGAGAAACACACACACACACACACACACACACACACACCGTATAAAAGGACTCGCTTTAATTTGAAGCACCTGTGAGCTGTTTAATCGCTCACCGCAAGACTCTCTCTTTTACCAGTGTGACCCATGCACCTTAACTGGTATTTTTAAAAAATATTCCAGGTTAAATAGAACTTAAGCTCTAGATAATGTTGACTCGTCCCTGAGTTTGTAAAAACAAAGAAAAAATAAAGCACTTGCAAATGGAAGCCTATAAAGCAAATAAACTGGAGGGTTTAAAAGCAGGATTGTTAATATGGAACCTGCAGAAATACAGGCTAGCGATTAGCGTTGCATTACAGATATGCATAATACAAAAATAGCTAAGATGGCTTGAAGAACACAGATAAACACAGATCATTGCAATCGTGTTTGTTATCTTGATGTTTCATTAGTCAAAGTCAAATCGTCTCTATCTGCATGTTATTCAGCTGCCCTCCAGTATGAATGAAACAGACATTACATGAGTACTTTGTAACGTAGTAACTTAAGTAGTTTTTCAGCAAACTACGAGTGAGTTCACGTAGTGTAACAGCGCAGCGCTTCTGTGTTGTACGTCACACACATCACGCACATGACCAGCGTCGGCCAATAGTGAGCCTGCGTGTGACGTACAACACAGAAGCGCTGCGCTGTTACACTAGGTGAACTCACTCGAGGCCCACAGAGAAGGAAATGAATAGTTGAATAAAGTCGTCATTTTTGTTTGTTTTTTGCGCACAGAAAGTATTCTCGTCGCTTGATAAACTTAAGCTTGAGCCACTGTAGTCACTCGGACTATTTTAACGATGTCTTTAATAACTTTTGGGCCGGCCAGTTTCGATCCCTTTAGAAGCCTTTGGAGGAGTGATCCAATAATCAGAAATATCTTAATTTGTGTTCCGAAGATGAACGAAAGTCTTACGGGGTTGAGCAACACGAGGGAGAGTAATTACTGACAGAATTTACATTTTTGGGTGAACTATCCCTTTAAAGCTGCAGTCTGCAGTTTTTCCTCTCTGTCGCCATCTCTATTCGAACATCTCTTATTCGCGGAATTGACCCTTCGCTAAGCCCCGCCCTCCTTAGTTACTGTTGCTACGCCTGTCAAGCTTTCGCGGCTGCCACGTCTATTACAGTGTGAATGCACCGGTGTCAGACATTCCCAAGGAGATATTTAGTCATTTTTGGCAAACAGGTGAAATATCTGAGAGAGCAAGACAAAATGGAAAGCAGTATGCATTCGAGGGATATATCCACGACATAATATTCAACCGATTAGAGAATAATTTCATCAAAATTGAAGCTAAAGCCTATAACGTTAGGTCCCAGCGCAAGCAGCAGCCGTCTCCTTAGCAGACCATTCACATGGGAAACACACAAATTGAACAGCTATGTTCATGCACAGCAGAGTAAGTGAAATGTGAAAATAATCTAATAATTACAAATCAAACAGTTTATCCATCAATCTAACACCGGGAGAGCCGCGATCGGATTGGGGTAAAGTTACAGGGGTAACGTTAGTAGGCCGTCGATTAACAAAATGCTGAAATATATTTTAAAGTATGTCAGTGAGCCTTCGTTTTGCCTTTAATCGTCTTATTTTACGTTCAAATACATGCATTATGAACAAAGAACCGCCTTTATTTCCAAGCAATAGGCGTTTTTTGTTTTGTTAATCCTGTCGACATTTAGTTGTGAATGGGTCTCCACACTGCTTGATCCACGCCCGGGATTTCTCCCCTTTGGCTTTTAGGTTTCGGGAAGAGAAAAAATGCCACCCCACCGTCCAAACTTTTAGAATACCGGGTATCAGATTTGCACAATCCATACGCACAACGCGTCGGCATGTTTCCCTCGCTCGAAAGCTTGACAGACCTCCCGCGCCTAGTTACGGTTGCTAAGCCACGATTGGCCAGTGGTGGTTTTCGGGCGTGGCTTAGCAAAGGGTCAATTATCAACTTCTTGTGTTGTGCCTAAGCTAGTCTCGCGTAGCCAGACCTTCAGACTGACGGCTGAAGGTCTGGAATTCATAGCAGCTTTCTTTGGCCAAGGCCCGCCCATAAGGCCGTTTGACCGACATGTAAAACAACCAATTACAGATCGTTTCGTTCAGCGTCACGTTTCGGTGCGTGGAAATGTCCCCACAACAACAGACCTGCGTGCAACAAGTCAGTCAGCATAGAAAATCAAAGAAGGAGAAGAAAACTTCAAGAGTCTATGCCGTGAACCGCGCATACTTTTGAGAATCCTACGTTTAGCTGATCTTGATAAATGCTCATTGTCACTCATGTAAACACAACAGTTTTTCTTCCGCAATCACACGTCTGCGCTTTGTTTCCCGGCGGACCGAAAACAAACGCGACACTCGCGCCCCCCGGAAATCCGATAAAATTTAACCAATCAGATGACGACTTCGACATTCCTGAAGTGTTTCCAGTTAAGTGTACCATATCAAACACGTTTAGCCAACGTTCCGTGGGCGCAAGCGTGCCGCACAAGCCCTCAAAAGTGAAGCCAAAACGTCTCGATCGCCCCCCAGTGACCGGTCCTAGTATAGGTCATAAGCCCCGCCTTCCTATGTTATTCAACAGGACGTGAGACCAACTAAACAATTAAATTACACTTCACATATCCTTTTTCCAAAGATAGTTTCTGTAATTTACTGTAGTTTCTATCACGTTGATGTAATTTCAAGTGTTTGTTTTTAAAATAAGTTTGTTTTTAGTTAGTTATTTGATGCTATAAAAACGGTGCTGTGACATCATGATTGACAGCTGTGATTGACAGGTTCTCTGTGCGAAGTAGTCACTGAAGCACCAACGGACTTTTTTTCATAATGTTTACTATGTGGTTTAGTTGTATTTACCTTATTTTAACGAGGTACTGCAATCAGCAGACATCATTGGAGAGAAACGGAGCAGACAGAGGCCACTTAAGAAAAGTGCAGGGCGTGTGCTTGCGATTGACTCAGCGAGAGTGAGGGCGGGGCCTTGATTTCGCGGCTTTACTTCCTGCTCACGACTGCGCATGTCTGGTCCCGAAAACGCAAGTGCGCAGACTCAAGTCCCAAGATGTCAGCGCCATATCGGGACCTATGATCGGGACAGGGGACACTCCACTGTCTATGGGGACACTGGCGGCTTCAGTTCTCTCCGATGGAAAAGAGCGAAGGGGCGTCGTCCATCTTTTTTTACAGTCTATGGTTGTGCCTCGACATGGCACAGCGCGGATGAACACAATGTTTTGAACACAATGAACACAGACTGTGTTGCTGTGTGATGATGATGTAAACTTGGTGAAGGTTTGGCTGCTTAGCATATTTCTGTTATTTTTTTGCTGGTAAAAATAAATAAATAAGGCCATTTTAAAGAAGCTGTGTAATATTCTGACAAAATATACACAGAAATTAACACACAAATGGCTTACTTTACAGTTGTTTCTGTGCATTAAACTAGGATACAAGAAAATGTGTCCTCAAATCCTCAAGTTTGACATAGGGCCAGTTGCATAGACTAAAATAGCCATTATGTTACACCTGTGTCTGTGTACTAGTACGACCAGAGATTAGTCAGTCTTACTTTTTGGTTTCAAATTAGACCAATTTTCTTTTTATGTAGGCTAACTGACTTAATACAGTTATGAACAGTCTTAAATAAAAAAAATATGATGGCTAACTTGTAAGATTAGTGTTAGCGGATTATGCAACTGGCCCCTTATGTAATGTAAATCTTTGTTTCTGTAATTCAACTACTTTATAAAGCTTTTTTTATTTAAAACAACAAAATAGCAAAGATTTTAGCTCCTTGCCTACTTTTGTTTGATCTAAAGCCAGAACAAACATGAAAACGGTCTGTAAAATAGCTACACATGCGAGACATGGTTTCAAGAGTCCCTTTCACTAAAAGTGTTGAGGTGATTAGAGCCGCATGCCGTCTCTCTTCACCAGCTAATGAGACACGCAAACTCGGGATGGAGAGAGACTCAATTTCTAATTGTAGTACCTCAGCGTTAGTGTGTGTGTGCTTTGGTAATCCTCAAGACGTGGTTTAATTGATTTGTGTTGAAATAAAGGATGAAGTTTCCAATTGAAACCGGTAACTTGAGAGAGAGAGAGAGAGAGAGAGAGAGAGAGAGAGAGATTGGGTTGGTATGTGTGGAAGTTCTTGTATCACAACCCCAAAAACTGTCTGTGTGTAATGACAGAGGTTAAAGAAGAGAGAAGCGTGTTAAGAGAAAAACCCTAAAAATCCTTGAGTGGAAATTTGCTGCCGTCGTCTTCATGCTATACAGACCTTTGTGTTCTTATTCAACTCCAGCAAACTCAGACTAATGAATTTACTGAGATGATGTTACAGCACTTTGAGGGGCTATTTCACCTTAAATGCTTGGCTTTTAGCAGGCGCTTTGTATCTTAAATGACCTACAGTACGCTAATTGCAGGTTCTGTCCCTCTGGAGCAGCCTGGAGTTAAATGTCTTGCTGAAGGGTACAATGGTGACAGAGAGCGATTGTAATCTATGTTACTCTCCAGGTCCTGGGTCGCCCCTGTATACTTGGATGTGAAACCGCAACCTTTGTGTTTGCAGCCCAGATCCTGAACTTGGCACACATATACTGTACACTCTTCAAAAGAAAGGCTCCAAGTAGATTTGCATTTCCTCAAGGAAATAGCAGTGGACGCAAGAAAAAGACCAGTGTTGTGGCATTAGGTTTTAGGCTTTGACGTGTACATGGCGTGCTCGTAACGCTATTCAGTTCACGCGTTAGAAATGAGCTCTTATTCTGACCTTAAACTTGCAGATGTCACAACACTCATCATGCATCTTGTTTTCCGTTGAAAAGGAAAAAACACAATTTAGTATCCAAATAATGCAAGACACAATACCAACCGCACAATCCTGTCAAAATGAACAAAACAATACAATTTATTAATTTTCTTAAATATTACATTATATAAAAAATATTCTTAATTAGTATTTTCTAGTTTATTTCAGTTTAAAAAAAAATCCTTAAAAATATATATATTATTGGCTCTGGCAGATTTTTTCGCCATTTATATAATCAAGCCAAAAACATGTGATGTTACACTCTAAAAAATGCTGGGTTGTTTCAACCCAAATGTGGGTCAAATATGGGCAAACCCAAATGTTGGGTTAAAAATGTAATTAAAAAATTTAAAGTTGAAAGTGAAAGTTGAAGTTGGGTTAAAATTTTTAATTACATTTTTTTAACCCAACATTTGGGTTTGTCCATATTTGACCCAAATTTGGGTTAAAACAACCCAGCATTGTCTAGAGTGTAGATGTTAAAAACAAGTGATTTTAAGACCAAATGCAATTATATCAAAAAGATACATTCTCTGAAATCAGGTGTTAATATCTTCTGCAGTGTTTCATCTTTTTTTCAGGATTTTTAGATATATTTTGAGTATAAAAAATATATATATTTTAAAAGAAAAATCTTTCGTCATGGGAGAACCGTTGTAAGTTCCACAAATAAATTAACCTATCAGATGTTTTAAAGCCAAAGCACTCAATTTAATGAAACTTAAAAAAAAAAGTTTTTAAATTCTCTTCCAAGCAATTCAAGAATGATATACAACCGAAAAGGGTTTTTGATAATATGATTCAGTGCCGACTATAAAAATCTTCACAGATCCTTTGAAGAGTTTAGCATTCTTATGAAGCTTATGATTCTTAACAAGCTATTTTAAGTCATTAATTAACCATCAGCTGGTTGCTAAAACACACAGGAAGCGTCAGATGAGTTTCCTCTCTGCTGGTGTAAAGCCAGAGCGGTGTGTGTATGTGTGTGTGTGTGTTGTACGGAGCGCTCAGCCAGTCTAAGCAGAGTCATTCTCTAAGATCAACAGCAAAAACACCTGAGAAAACACAGTAATAGCACCTAAATTCTCCAAACTCCCCGTACGCACTCGTGTATAAATATTAAGACATGTCAGTGTAATGTATACAGCCCAACAGAAACCTGCTCGTGTTTATATACATTTGAACCTGTATGTTATTAAGCGGCTCGCTGTGTTTGTGTGTGTGTGTGTGCCAGAAGCGACTCGAGTCACGATGTGTCCCCAATGCACCTTTACACATGATCACTTACTAAGTTATTCAGTTTGAAGCCAACCTGAGCGAAAAATGTCTAAGATCTGTTATAGATTGATTTAGAAGTCATCAGAACAATCCATAGAAATGCAGTGAGCGATAATAATGACGAGCTGATCTCAATTAAAGAGCGTTTTGCAATGGTTGTGTTTGTTTTCTTCATCTTCATGCAGAGTTGTTTCTAACTGACTTTGAAAGGATTCTGCCAGTGTAGATGTAGCTTTATTTCTCTCACACATGTGCTTTTTATTATTCTACATCTGCTTTGACCCTCCAAACCATGTCGGAAAGTTACCAAAAATCACTCGCTCTGGCTTTACAGAACACATACACATGCACAAACACACAAGCTCAGAGCTGTTCAGACAATGGGAATCTGCTCTTTCTTGTGGTTCTTCCTAGCTCACATTCTGGCAAGGTCATCTCAATGTTATGAACAAATCTTCCACCAGTCATGTTAATAGAATACCAGTTGGTTAAAAGTTATATAATACTGTTCTCAAAATGATAGCAAAAAAAAAAGTTGTTTAAATGTTACTACTTGTTTCAGAATGTTAGAGAACATTAAAAAATGAACATTGCCACAATGTTTGAAGAATGGTAGTGTGTCCATGTGTTAAAAAACTGGATGTTTTGAACATTGAGAGAACATTCAGAAAAATATCTTTTTATAACTTAATGCTAATGGGAATGTTAATAAAACATATATTGTTGCATGTGGATTTATGTGATTCACAGAGAATTGAAGAATTGGCTCCCTTTCAGTTCAAAAGTGTACATTTAAATTTGTGAATTGGCCACAACACACAGGAAGTTGAACTTGAATGACAGGAAGAGGAATTTTCTGAACTGCAATTCAAAGAAATGCGACACATGATGAATTCTGGAAAATGAATATGTGAATAATATATGACATGGTTCAGTTGAAATGCATGAACTGATTAAATGAATGCAATGTCACTTTGAATAAAAGCATCTGCCAAATGCATGAATGTAAATAAAAACTAAATCTACATTTCTATAGGTGGTTTACATTTCAAACTTGTATCTATCCAAAAAGCATTCTCTATGCAATTCTGAATGGCAGTGTTTAGGTCCTTTGACACCAGTAGACATCAATTAAAGTGATACAGAATCACAGCTGATAAATACCAGGACAAAGACATACATCAACTAATAATTTATTTGTATATTTGATTAATTCAGTGGTCATTGCAGTTACAGAAACAGCAAATAAAACGGGTGATGAGAAGGAGAGAAACTCTCCCAGTACGTTAGACGGAAGAATATTCCTCATGTGGAAACAAAGTTCATCATCAAACTGCACATTTACTCATGTATGCACATCTTCATACAGACACACGTCACATTCAGTCTAATGGATGTACAAATACATACACATATTCATTCATACGCAGATATGTCAAATATACAGTCGTGTGCAAATGCCTGTGGCTGATCTAAACGTTGAGTTTATTTCTGCTCATTTTTAATGCAGAAAAGCTGCGTGTCTTCAAAGCTGATTTAGCACATGCTCAGACTTTGGGATGGCAGTGAAATGTTCTTGCCAAAATGAATCAACCAAACATGAATTGTGGGAACTGTGCCCTAACTTTTGCACACAACCATAAACACAAATACATTCGCACAAGCAGAAACGTTCTGCACGTCTGCCGAATCCCTCCAGGAACAGAATTCAGTCTTTCTCTAAAATTGTTCATTTATTTAATGACATCAGGGTCATTAAAATCTGTAATCTGCACCGCTCATGCAGCAGGAAAGCTTTTATATGTTTATAGTCTCTCATCCAAACCACGTCCAGGAGTAAAATGAAAATGGAAATTGCTGTGGAAATGGCATTTCCTTCTGCACCTCTACAACCTCGGCTGAGTTCAGGAGGGAATAATAGCGCACTAGTTACTAGTTAATGTTTGCACTACCTGTGTTGTTGTATTATTCTGATTTGCACTTTTTAAAAATAGTATGTGAAACATTATGCAACAATAAGCATTTGGTATGCAAACAGTAGAATGCTACATGACCGTTG